TAAACAGATGCATATAAAAAATTCTGCGCTATGGAACCTGTCTCAAAGTGATAAATATAAAATATAAAAGATGAAAAGCTGCCATGCTAATAGTATAAATAAATTAGATCAAACAGATGCACTGCGCTAATCATCAATCATAATACAGTATGTGAATAATATAGTGCTAAATATCATATAAATCACATATAACCAATATAATTAATAAATACTCATAAATAATAAAACTTGTCTCTCATTGTAATATCTCCAGTAGAGATTAGGTGCAAATTGGTAATTATAAAGTCCACCATAAATTGATGCAAAAAAATAAATACATTGTGACAAAGTGTCAAGATATAAAAAACCATCAGTGATAAGTCCTTCTTATCGCTGTAGTGTGCAAACTCCCGGTGACTGTGAAAAACACCGCATTCACCAGACTTCCATATTCAAAGAGGCATAACAATCCCGGATCGCAATCACAGTGAACGTTTGCTCCTCCACTCGCAATAGGAACTTCCTCCTCCACTCTGTGCTCTGTCACAAAAAAGCTTCAGGTTCAGGTGTGGTCCTTTAAAAAAACGTATCCGTTTCCCAGAGAGGATAATACGAGTGGAGGAGCAAACGTTCACTGTGATTGTGATCCGGGATTGTTATGCCTCTTTGAATATGGAAGTCTGGTGAGTGCGGTGTGTTCCACAGTCACCGGGAGTTTTTGCACACTACAGCTATGAGAAGGACTTATCACTGATTTTTTTTACATCTTGACACGTTGTCACAATTTTTTTTTTTGCATCAATTTATGGTGGACTTTATAATTACCAATTTGCACCTAATCTCTACTGGAGATATTACAATGAGAGACACGTTTTATTATTTATGAGCATTTATTAATTATATTGGTTATATGTAATTTATTTGATATTTAACACTACATTATTCACGTATTATGATTATTGATTAGTACATCTGTTTGATCTAGCAAAATAAACAGGAAGTTTGTATAAACATAATCTTATGCTATTTAAAGTGCACCTGTGTCCAGACTATAGTTACATAGTTACATAGTATTTGAGGTTGAATAGAGACACAAGTCCACCAAGTCCAACCTATTGCGTGTATGTATATGGTTCTGCTGGTGTGTGCGTGTGTATGAGTCGATGTGTGATCTTGTTCTTAAGAGTACCTGTACCCCTGTATGTTAAGGTCTCTAAGGAAATCGTCCAAGAGCTTCTTGAACGATTCCACACTCTTAGCTGAAATCACTGTGGCAGCAAGTTCCAGACCCTAACCGCTCTAACTGAGAAGAACCCCCTTCGCCCCCTTGTGCTGAAATTTTTTCTCCACCAATTTTAGATAGTGGCCTCTAATCTTTGTTATGGGGTTAACCGTAAAGAGTTTGTTGCTAAAGTTGCTATCACCATTGAACATTTTGTACATGAAAATCATATCCCCCCTTATCTCCTTACTTCCAACGTAAACATATTTAAATTTAGTAGCCTTGTCTCATAGCTCTGGCTCTCCATCCCCTTAATGAGTTTGGTTGCCCTCTGCTGGACTCTTTCCAACTCAAGGACATCCTTTCTGTGGACTGGTGACCAAAACTGGACCGCGTACTCCAGATGAGGCCGAATCCGTGATCTTTAAAGTGGCAAAATTATAGACTTGTCCCTGCAATACATCCCCTTCTTAATACAGGACAGGATTCCTGTCCTGTCCTGTATTTAATAGATATTAAAGATTATTTTTACATGTTCTAAACAAGTAGAACAAGATATTTTAAACAAGGTCTGTAGCTGTATGTACTGTGAAGTAATTAATTCTCAAAGATCACAACAAAGACTATGAAATTGGGTCTCATTCAGATTCTAACAGATTACAAACACCTACTGTGTGTTTACATTAGAATACTGGCAGGCTGCTAAGATTCTGTTCTCATAGCAAGTAAAAGGGGAAAGATCTGGGATTTCAGTACCTCTGTTTTGGATTTTGAAGATGGATTTCTCCACAAAGACTACAGCTACAGAGTTGAATAAGGTTTTTTTTTTTAAAGTGTTTACTGTTAGTTCAGAATATGTCAGTACTATATTGTGCATATTCTGTATGTTTCATTGACTTGTGCAGTCAATGGTAGAGAATCTTTATCTACATAGCCCATCTCCAACCAAAAGGTTTTTTTTTTAGTTTTGGGCTAAGTAAGAAATGTCACAGGGACTGGATACTAGGTGAGATCTTCCCGATGTAGTCACAAGCAGGGCTGGATTAAAAGCGTCCTGGGTCTAGTGCTGTTGGTCGGACAGGAAGCAGCAGAGACAGCTCTCTAATTAGGCGGCTGCTTGGCCACCTAATATGCCTGATTAGAGACCCACTAGCGCCTCTGCCTGATTGTGTTCAGCCCGGCCGACCCAGATTGCCACCGGGCATACCAAAGTGATCCGGGCAGCCTGGGCCTATTTTCAGTGGTGAGCCTGAAGCTTGCACACCATTAGCCCCTATGTTAATCTGGCCCTGGTCCCAGGCAGCTATACACCCTCGACAGAAGTATTTACTCATCCTAAATGTGTCCAAAACAAACAATCATGTTATGGTGTGCTCCTGACAACTAATGGTAGGTTAGCATTACTACAGCTTAATTTCTGTATACATTAGGTACCTTTGTAAAATACGTATGTTCACGTATATGGATAATGCCGAATTCTTTTTACTTGTGTATGTCAGAATTTACAATAAACCTTTTTTATTTGCTCCATTTTGCTCTATTAAATATACCATTGAAAGTGTTTTGTTATATATGTTCGATAAGTACAAAAATACCTGAGCATATCAGAAAATCAGGCCTGGCCTGTGCACACGTCTTTTCTTTTATCTCATGTATCCCGGTGAGTCTAAACAAACCCCATACCTCCCCCCCAGTTTTCATCTCAGATTACAGAACAATGACTTTCTATGTTGTGGAGATGAGGTGGGGATGTAGTACTTTAGCAAAAAACAACAGGGCAGTGCTGACATCATTTTTTGTAATTTTTGAGTCCACAAAACGCTTGCCCACCAGACTTTGTGGCAGATGCTGTCAATGCAATGACATCGGGGAGGGAATAAATAGCCATGTTTCCGTGTTTGCAGACGATATACAATAGGGAGGGTACTAGTAACGGATTGTGACAATATAACATTGCAGGAGGACCTGGATAAAATAGGGGAGTGGGCAATACTATGGCAGATGAGGTTTAATGTCGATAAATGCAAAGTAATGCACTTTGGACATAAAAATAAACAAATAGGCTATACAATCATGGGTATGCCGCTAGGGAAGTCAGAAATAGAAAAAGATTTGGGGGTCATTGTAGACCACAAACTGAATGGTAGCTTGCAGTGCCAAGCTGCGGTAAACAAAGCTAGCAGGGTCTTGTCCTGTATTAAGTAGGGGATGTATTGCAGGGACAAGTCTATAATTGTGCCTCTATATAGATTGTTGGTTCGGCCACATCTGGAGTACGTGGTGCAGTTTTGGTCGCCGTTACTGAGAAGGGATGTCCTTGAACTGGAGAGAGTCAAGTGGAGGGCAACACAACTAATTAGGGGAATGGAGGACCAGAGCTATGAGACAAGGCTTCTGACCTTAAACATGGTTACGCTGGAATTAAGGAGATTAAGGGGGGATATGATTTTCATGTACAAGATGTTCAATGGTGACAGCAACATTGGCAAGAAACTGTTTGAGATTAACTCCATTACAAAGACTAGAGGCCACCACCTAAAGTTGGTGGAGAAAAAATTCCGGCACAATGGGCGAAGAGGGTTCTTTACAGTAAGAGCGGTTAAGGTCTGGAACTCAAGTGATTTCAGCCAAGAGAGTAGATTTGTTCAAGAAACGTTTGGACAATTTCTTGAGGGACCGTAATATCCAGGGATATCAGTATCCCTAAGAATGAGATGATGCATGGACCTACAGTATATGGATTGGACTTGATGGATGTATGTCTTTATTCAACCCCAAATACTATGTAACTATGTAATGTTCTGGCTGTATGACCATTATGTTACCATACCAAAATAGTACCTCTACCAACTCCTGATGAAGTGGAACATATATCCATGAAACGAGTTGAGTCAACTTTATCCAACGGCCCTTACTTCAATGAACAATCATAAATAAATTACAGAGTATGGTCTGATACCTTCTTGAAAGGGTTTATACATAAAGTAGAGGCATCTACTTGTGTGGATGTGTAGAGGCAATGATACATAAGGGTTGACCCAGATTTTCATTATATTGCATACTACATGTTTGTAATATTTCATACTGTTGTGTATTTAAATAAAATTTGACCTGTACTACTTGTAAGTGGGTACTTTAAAAGTCCGTTATGATCTAATGAGAGACGCACTGAGTTTTATTGGGATGTAGTACTCCATATGATCAATAGTATGGTTTTACTCTTAAAGCGGACCTTTACACTCAAAAATCAAATTCTACCAATGCATCCATCTCTGTATGGTGATTAATAATAACATAGACATGTCAGCTGTAAAATGCTGTGATTGTGAAATACTTACACTTGCAGGTCATTCACTTCCTGCTTTGAAAGGGCAAAATGACTTCAGTATGCCAAAGCAATGCACACTGGGATTACCTTGTCATCAGCAGAGCATTGCTGGGAAATCTCATCTGTAATCTCATGAGATCTCAGGGAAAGTCATTTTCCTCCCCTGAGATGATGTGCATGGTCACATGTCTAGTCACATGTGTCAGAAATCCAGGAAGTAAAAGGAGAGCTAGTGATCTGCCCTTAGTAAACATGGCCACTGTCAGAAGACTGGGGAAGAAAAGAGAAATAAGGAATGCAAAGAATACAAAACCGGCAATTATCTAGAAGTATGTGTTTGTAGATTGTCATTACTAAACATTTCTAAACGTGCCTTTGTTGTTATTTTAAAGATCTGGGTAAAGGTCGGCTTTAAATCTATCAACAACATTCACACTTGTTCTACTTTAAAGAAAAGGCATTGAAGGCAACTGTTAGGATGCATTTTAATGTTGATTAGGCATAATCTAAAATGAGAAAGAAAATAGTTAAAATAATGCCAGCTTATAACAAAGATGTTTTATTAGTTCAACTTTAAGAAATAAAACACATTTTTTTTCATTTAAAGAAACAACAATAACTTTAAAACGTAATATAAACTGATTGCTGTTATTTTTTTTCAGACAAAGTAATAACCCAAATGTTCAGCTAGTACAGTACATATTATCTGTTCAGTTTTTCTTCCAGTTACGGACATTTTCAATGATCTGCTGCGCGCTTAGTCTTCCATCCTCAAGTTGTTTCTCAATAAAGCGTTGTAGTTCTTCCCATTTCTGGGTGCTTTTGTCGATGCCGTCAAGGACCATGGAACGTGCAATTTCCATCCTCTTAGCTATGATGTCATTTCTCAGCTGAGGAACTTCATCAAAGGATTTCCAGTCAAAGGGATGGGGTACGTCCACTTTAATTTCTCCTTTACGTGTGGAAAGATATGTTCTTATTCCCTCGTTAGCAGAATTCTGCAAATATTGCAACATCTCTGTGATGTACTGTGAAAAGGCATTGTACAGTTGGATGACCTGATCAAGTAGTTTATTGGCTTCAGCAAGAAATTTCTCAGAAGACAGTTGACCGAATGCTTCAAGTTTGGAGTAAAACATTTGTGAATGTTCTACAGCAGCTTTCCTGGCAGCGTTTAGCCACTCACTTCCTTTCTGCTCTACCTTTAATGCAAATTCCTGAACCTGCCTCTGCCCTTTGTTTTCTGCATTGGTTGCTAGTACAATGGCTTGGTCATAGTACTCTTTCATTTTGTCCGCATATTCTGAGACATCTACTCCATATTTTGATGGAAGTTCTTTTAGTGAATCGATGATGAATTGAAAGAACTGAAGAACTTTTTCTTCCAGTTCGTAATATTTCACGGACCACCCTACGATATTTGGATCTAAATACTCTTCTCGCAAGGCCTTGGCATAGATTAGAAGCTGTTTAAGTTTCTCTGAAAGTTCCTCATACATCTTCTGCCAAACGGTTTCCAGCTGACTGGTGCTCTTTTTGATTTTATCGGCGAGGTCACTAACATACTGTACATATTTGGAGTTGACAGCATCATTGTACATCTGTTGTGTTTGTCGTTTCATATCTTGGTAGTTTCTAGACTTAAGGGCTTCAATGATTTGTTCTGATTTTTGTGACATCTCTTGAATCAAACCTTTAAGCTGCTGCAGATATTTCTCAAGGCTGAAGTATTGGAGATCTCTAAAAATATTTTCAGTAATCTGCTTGAGTTCTTTTAAAAAGTCTTTTACAGCCATAATGACTTGTCTTCCCTCAATAACTGTGTCTGTGCCTGGGATTTTAAAGTTCGTGTTATTAATTGATTGAATGAAGCCATCAAGAAGCTGCTGGATCTTCTGAATGCATGCTTCAATCTTTGAAGTTGCCCATTTCATCCCCATGTCGAACTGTTGTTCCCCAGTGTATCTTTGGGTCTGGCCTGGTAGTTGAAATCTTGTGCTCTTTAAAAACTCAATAGAGGCATCAATGATATCTCTCATCATGGTTTGGTAGCTTCTTATAACGGTAATTGATTGATCATAAAGCTGAGCTCCCAGCTCACCATCATTCATGAGGTATGACATGTCTGGTGGCTGTTGGTACATCTGTTTTGCTTTGTACACAGCACTGGCATATTTACCACTGGCATCTCTTGCTGCTGACCGAAGCTGATAATCTATCTTGTCGATTTGATTGGCTGCAGACTGGTACGTTGAGGAAACCTTGGACTGAAGGCGCTCTTTCATAAGTCGATTAGCATCTTTCATGTCCATTCCCAAGTGCTCCCTGTGGTATTTATTGATGCAGTTGTAGATAGCATCAGACATCTTGGGCAGTCTCTCCTTCAAACCATTGAGAACATCTTCAGCAGCTTCCTCTCGCCAATTCAATTTGTTTTGAATCCTGTCTGGGTTCTTTAGTGAGATCTCATTTTTCAGAATTAATGTGTCCTTTCCAGGAGATGCCTGAAGAAAAACAAAAGCAGTAACAATAAATAGTGCAGAACTTGTAATATTGGATGTAATACAATAACCAACAATTTTGCTAGAGTGAGCATTAAAACCATAAGCCTAATTATTCTAAGCATAACATTATGCATGTAGATAACAAAAACACTCTGTTCCAAAAGAGCACTGGACTTAAACTTCGTTAATGAAATATGGCATTAACGTTCAGCCCAAGTCCAGCCCATACTTTGTTTTTAGTTTTGGATGGAGTGGGAAAGGATTAGAGTCCCTGCTGGCTTGTTTTCTGATATCTGGGGCCCTATTAGAGAGTCTGAGCTAACCACTGTCACTGTGCCGTAAGTGAGGGGAACTTACTGACCCTGTGACAATGTTTAGCCCAGACATTAAGTGAGGGAAAATCACTCTAACAGAGTTTCAGATAGCAGTAAAAATATGGCAGAGGTTCTAATCTTTCTGCAGCCTAAAATTAATAAACAATATTAAAAAGCTGGACCTACATAAAGACCACGTTTAAACCACTTGCCGTCCGCTCATTGACGGCAACCTTTTCCATTGTGCGCATGCAGAATCTCGGTGTGTATGTAAACAGCCAGTTACATACAAAAGTACA